GATCTCGGTGGAGGAGTGTGTGTGAGTGTGAGTGTGTGAGAGGTGAAGGTGAAGTAGTAAAGTGCGGAGTCCGTCCCTCATTTCCATCTCAGTTGTTCCCACTGGAGCTCTGCCAATCCAGAGGATCGTTCCCTATCATAATGATAACTCCGCATAACCGCAGATCAAAGCGCGAGTTTCCCCGCTAGTTGGAGCAGATTCTGCGGATCTTCTGATGAGTGTGAATGAGGAAGAATGTCCCGTCGGAAGCAAGCGAAGCCCCAGCACCTGCGGTCGGACGAGGAGCCCGGGTCGGTCCCGCTGCCGGGTCACGGTGAGCTGATGATGAGGATGGTGATGATGATGATGATGATGATGATGATGGTCTCACTGAACCTGCGGGACTTTACCAGTTAATGCCAGCAACGCGCTTTAGTCAAATAGCCTTTAAAAACAAACACACATTTTTCGAGACTTGTCCACGTGCGACTTCCTTTCCACAGCGGTCGAGTATTTGTGGCATTATATTTTAAAGTTAAATTCACACCCGTGCATGCATCGATATATAGAAATTACTGAAAATGTTTAAACCGCTTTTCTTAAATTATGACACTTATGATTTAGTAACGTTAACAGCAAACGGCGATTTATTCGAAACTCAAATCAAATACTAGCTAATAAAACAAATACAATATGAGAGTAAATTATTATCTAGTTCAACTAACGGACAGATTCACCTATACACCTTAATTTATCATTTTTATTGGTGTAACTATGCAGAAACATATTAAAATTGAGTTGTATTACTCAGAGACGCTTCAAACATTTAAAGAAGCTTTAAACTTCTTAATAAATAAATAAATAATTAAATAATTAAGATCTTTTTGTCGTTTGAATTTTTACTCTTCTAAATTCTTCTTTTTAACTTAATAATTTGCTTTTTTACTTTAACTAAATCACTGTCAAGAAAGAAAGGTGGCAAATGCATGTTTGCAGAAAAAAATACGTCTTCATTTTGTATTTTAGTAGTAAATGTCGCTGGGTGTTTTACACGTAATTGTGTTTAAAAGCAGTTTATGCGATGCGCGTAACCCATGACACTGCACTTATTAATTACAATTCGGTCCCCTTTTCTCGGAAAATCTGTTTACCTTTTTCCAATAGTAATAATAATAATAATAATAATAATAATAATAGGCTAATAATAATAATTTATCACAAGCAGTGTTTTTAAAAATACACTAAGTAAAATCCTTCCTCATATCTCGGTTATTCAGTCACTCACTACTTTCATATTGCAACATTTTTTTGTAGTTTATACACACCTGCTACTTTATTCAATTTAATGTATTACTATATTACTGACATTTTACCAGCAAATCATGTGAAAATCATTGTTTTTTAAACAGTCATGAGGCTGCTAAGGAATGTTATAATGTCGTTCTTATTATCGTTCTTAAATCTTTTTAGGTGATTATTATTATGCCATTATTTCTGTCACATGTTCTTCAGAAGTCTCACTATCTTATGGCTTTAATCTATGAAACTCTATCAAAATGCATGTCCAAATGAAAGCACCTCTTGACCGAGTTTGAAGAAGAAATCAAGCAGCAAGCATTATGTCTGATAAATACAGCAGAAATACATGTACACATGTTTATTTAAACAATAATTCAAGAATATAGTAAATATGTGTGTAATCCATATAAAACTCATTCATCTATTAATACATATTTAAGCACATATTTGCCAGTCTTGCAACATACACATAATACACTACAATAATCACAGTAATTCAAAAATCCCAACCCTATATGTGTGTATATATATATATATATATATATAGAGAGAGAGAGAGAGAGAGAGAGAGAGAGAGAGAGAGAGAGAGAGAGAGAGAGAGAGAGAGAGAGAGAGAGAGAAATAACCAGAAATGAAAATTGAAAATTTAATGACAAATTAAAGTGTGTCCTGAGCGTTTAACATTGCGTCATATTTCATGTCTCAGCGCTGTTGATGTATGATCCGACTTCGACTGCATTTGAATAGCAACAGAAGTATTGATTGTGTCCGCATACAGTAATCTAGAGACGGGGATAAGACTTCAGCTTCATCTTAGAGAGGGTTCAGTCCTGCTCTTTAATGAGCGCAGTGTGTCTTCACTCAGGTCCTCTGTTTCTCTCCGCTCAAGTCTTTAAATGCTCGTTTTCATTCTCTTTTGTTTGCTTGGCTTTTGAACGCGCTCTTGTGTGCGGGCCTCAGTGGTGTGTGTGTGTGTGTGTGTGTCCCCGAGGAGCTGTGTGATCCCGCATGCGCTTAACCTTCGCCGGCTGGACCAGCATGGGTGGCCCATGCATCTCCAGCTTTACATGCAGCTCGTGCAGATGTTCGCTTGACCCGAGAGAAGTGGCTTACATATGTCCTATGGTGCATTAATTATGATAATCTCTCTGTCGCCTTTCATCTCCATACAGCGAGTGAGCTCTTATACTCTGTGCTGTTGTGCATCTAACACGGTTTAGGACTTTTTTTTTAAACAAAATATAAAACTTTTTTTTCTGCTGAGATTTACAATTTAGAATTATTTTTTGATTTGATATTTATACATCTTATGGAAAGTTTCAGGATTAATCATGCTTGAATTCTCTGTGTGTTTTTGAACAATACTTTCCTTCCATGTTCCCAAGGCCGCTGAGTCCATATTTTCTGACAGCTTTATATCAGATGTTTTTGTCTTACCTAAAATGACTGGTGTAATGTACAGTCATGCAATCCGGTTTGTTCAGTCGTACTAAATTATATTTTTGACCAGTTAATTTAGACAGTAATCATGAAACATTTTTACAGTGTTGGGATTTTATTATTCATTTAGATCTTTTCAGTGTAGATAATGTAACTGTCTCACATTTTTTGTATTTTTAATGTTCAAATTGTACATGAGATCTACAGATAATGCGTATTGATGCGCCAAAGATGTTTAGCAAAATATGCTGGTTTAACCTTTTAATTATCCGGGTCCAGTTCCCAGAAGCCAGTCAGCACCATGGTGTGGTTACATCTGTGTCAGAGCACATGCTAATACAACATATGAATATGTGTGCTACATCTGCACTCAGGTGTTGAGGAGGACATCGAGCCATTACTGAGAGTCTCGTTCATGAGTTCCTCTGGCACTGCGAGCCCATATGGCACGGTGAACACTGGACAAGATTAATATTACAAATTCATACATTTCATTTGAAGTAATAGTAAGCAAATGCTGTAGGTTTGCACAAGTGCATCGTATACGGTAGTTATATGTGTGTGTGTGTGTGTGTGTGTGTGCTACTGTATGAAAAATACTTTCAGCCATTTTGGATTATCACAAAAAAGGTTGTAATTTATTTATTATCATTTTTAATTAAAGGTAGTCAATTAGTTGCATTTAACACGTTTGTAAATTTAGGCATTTTACTTGTGTGTATGATATATCATATTTTTATGAGAAAATTAATTTGGAAATGGTGAAGAATGAGAAGTGCACTTACTCTTTTTAACACGTATCATAACACTTATAATAACATAAATACATTATAGTGTATAATATAACAGATTATAATATAACATCTGGTAGAATATAACAGATATAAAATCTAACAGTGTTTTCAGTTTGCATATCAACATTTGCTCATTGTACAGGAAATTCTATATAATTTCAGTATATAATCTATATCAGTCTGTTTTACTCATATAGAAAATTATAGGAAAAATTATACTTTTAGTTTGTCTGAAAGAGACAGTATATGAATGTCATAGTTAACTATTATTCTCTCTTAAATACAATAAGCATTTCTAATTAATTTTATTCCGGTCACTGCCGACATGAGGAAATACATCGCCTTCTTCTTCCTCTTCCTCTTCCTCTTCTTCTTAGTATTATTATTAGGTTTACAGTATATTGTCATAATTTCTTTGTTGTCAAATACATTTAAAAAACATTTGTTGTTTTATGTATTCTTTAATTCTATTTTCTGTTTTTGAATATAAGAAATAATGAATTTTATTCTTGATTTTTTGAAAATATTCATCCATATTGCAGTAGAACATACACTTTAATCTATCTGCTAAACATTATCAACCGCCAGTTGGTTAAAAAAATAAAAATAAAAAATTAATGTTTTACTCCGCAAGGTCTAATCACAATTTAGACATGTTTAATTCAGCTTGTAAAGTTAATTCTTCACAGTTGTCTGCATAACATAATTAATAAAATATCAGACCCAACCCAATCTCTGCAGTCAAGCACTATTACCAGATAATTACCATAAAGCATAGACACATACAAACACTCAAGATATTCTGCCATCGGAATAATTTGTACAGATAATATCTCAATATCTCAAAGAAACGTATGATTTAAACAGTTGAGACGTGATGAGATGTGATTTAGGGCTGCTATGATGCACGTCAGCTGTAGAGAACATGCAGTCTCTTCAACAACTGTAGTTTATCAGGAGACGTGTTGTGCCAGACAGAACCGGTGAAGAGGCCGATATTTGAGGTTTCATGTTAGCAGTACGGCATGCAAGTAAACGCTGAATTGAATGAAAACATTGGAAATCAATGACTTGTGTTGAATCCGTTTTTAAATGGAAATATCCAGTACTGATCAGACTGATTGCACAAAGAGATTTATTAGCTGGCTATACAGGGAACAGTGCAATTATCAAAAATGGTGGCTAAGATGAGAGACGAAGATCCAGAAAAAAAAGGGCAAAATTGATTTGATTTGTGCAAATTAATAAAAAGTTGAATTTATTAATTCATTTTTGCTCTTTAATTCCCTGTTCCCCTCAGTCTCCGGTGAAGGAGTGGAGGATTCAGACAGTGGAAATGAGAGCCGCAGTGGGAGCGAAGAGACCCATGTGTGTGAAAAGTGTTGCGCTGAGTTCTTTAAGTGGTCGGATTTCTGTGAACATCTGAATACCTGTACCAAGAACCCGCTTGTGTTGATTATCAGTGATAATGAGGTGACTTCAGACCCAGCCCAGGACTACGTGCCTGAGCCATCCCCGGTGCCCAGCAGCGAGCCGGCCGAGAGCGAGGACGATCCCGGGGGAAGCCTCATCCCACACGCTGAAGCCGATGAAGGAGCAGACATGATGCTGGATCCAGGGGCTGTCCTGGAGAAAGAAGACGAGCCCATGGAAGTGGAACTGTCTCCTGAGAAACCCACAGATTCTGAAGATCAAGTTACACTGGCAGAGCCAGACATAAGCCTACCTCAGCTTGAGGACCACACGCAGTCCTCCGGGGCGGGGTACTCTATTCCCAGCACTAACGTCACGCTGGAAACCCTGCATGGGACCCGTGTGGCGGTGGCCCAGTTCTCTCAGGGTGCCCGAGGAGCTCTAGCTGGTGAAGTGTCCACTATGGCCATCCCCATGATCCTGGACCAGCTCATGGCCTTGCAGCAGCAACAGCTCCATCAGCTTCAACTCATAGAGCAGATTCGGAGCCAGGTGGCGCTAATAAACAAACAAGCCCCCACACAGACCACTGTCAACCATCAAGTAGACCACAGCATGAATGCTGCCTTACAAGTAACCTCATCCTCCAGCATACCCACTATGTCTGGGCAGCTTCATTTACGTGGCTTCATTACACCCCCTGTGCATCAGCTTCCTATCAAGGGACCCTCCAGTTTAAACGGACAGGTCTCAGCCTCATTATCTTCAGCTCTGGAGGGAGCCTGTTCCAGTGTCCCTCAGACAGGTGGCCAACTGGCGAGTTCTGGGATGAAAAGCAATATCACAATGAATTCCTTGTATCCAACAACCAGTAATGTGGTTCCCTCTCAAATGCCACCATGCTCAGTGTCGATTAGCAGCAGTGGCTGCACTAGTAGTAGCACGGGAACTGGGGGCGAAGTCAGTTGTTGTATTTCACTACCAAGGAACACACCTAGTCCTTTAACGCTGACTCATGGGAGATTGCTAACATCCCCCTCCAGCCTTCCCCTTGTACCTCACAGCTCGCCCAACAGTGTTATCTTCCCTAATCCTCTTGCCAGTATTGCAGCAACAACAAATGCTCTTGATCCTCTTTCCGCCCTAATGAAGCACCGCAAAGGAAAGCCCCCAAATGTCTCTGTGTTTGACACCAAACCCAGTTCAGAAGATCCCTTCTTCAAACACAAGTGCAGATTTTGTGCTAAGGTGTTTGGAAGTGACAGTGCCCTGCAAATTCACCTTCGTTCCCATACTGGTGAAAGGCCTTTCAAATGCAACATTTGTGGTAATCGCTTCTCTACAAAGGGTAACTTAAAGGTTCATTTTCAGAGACACAAAGAAAAGTATCCTCACATCCAAATGAACCCCTATCCTGTTCCTGAGTATTTGGACAATGTTCCAACTAGCTCAGGTATACCTTATGGGATGTCCTTTCCCCCAGAAAAACCTGTTACCACATGGCTGGACAGCAAACCTGTTCTGTCTACAATCCCATCATCGGTAGCACTGCAACTCCCTCCAACTATACCCAGTATTCTAGGAAACTATGGGGATTCAACTAGTTTCACCCCTTTAAGTCGGTCACCTCAAAGGCCATCACCGCCATCAAGTGAGTGCACATCTTTGTCTCCTAATCACCTCATTGCTGAGGCCAGTATTGCACAAATCTCCAGTTCACCACAACCTAATGTGGCGAGTGACACGCCTCCAGTTCTCAAGCCTGAAGCCTTTCGTCTACCACCCAACTCCCCCACCAGGCCTGGAGAAACCAGCATATCGATTACTTCCATGCCCCAAGTGATTTCGACGACCACAGTTACAACCACAACCAGGACACAGATCACAGACTCAACGAATACTCCGTCTGCTGTCTCTCATCCCTCACTACAAATGATGTCCAGTCAGTTTAAGCCCAAGTTTCCTTTTGGTGGCCTCCTGGACTCTATGCAAACATCAGAGACCTCAAAACTACAGCAACTGGTGGAAAATATTGATAAGAAGATGACAGACCCCAACCAATGTGTTATCTGTCATCGTGTGCTCAGTTGTCAGAGTGCCCTGAAGATGCACTATCGCATCCATACAGGAGAAAGACCCTTTAAATGTAAAATATGTGGTCGTGCTTTCACAACCAAGGGTAATTTGAAAACACACTTTGGGGTTCACAGGTCAAAGCCCCCTCTCCGGGTACAGCACTCTTGCCCCATATGCCAGAAAAAGTTTACTAATGCCGTAGTTTTGCAGCAACACATCCGCATGCATATGGGTGGACAGATTCCCAACACACCCCTGCCTGAGAGTTTTCAGGACATGGACACAGATCTCTCCTTTGATGAAAAGAGCTTAGACGCCATGAGCAACTATGATGATGAGCTACTTGACGAGATGGACCAAGTAACGGAAGATGAAACATGTCTCAAAGAAGGGAATGTGAACTCACCAAAACAACTCAATTTATACTCAGATATGTCTCCAAGCACCTCTCCCCCAACCTCTCTCATCTCTAGCATTGTTGCTTTGGAGAATGAAATGAAGCTGAGTGACCCAACAGTTAACGTAACCCATTCCTTCAGCCATAAGCCTCCAGAAAACGGGAGTGAAATTGATGGGGAAAATGGAGACATGTTTAAGAATGACTCATCTTCCACTATGGGAGACTTGGAGAACCAGAGTGTTGGGAGTCCAGCACAGTCTGAATCCTCTGGCTCTATGCAGGCTCTGTCTCCTACCTACAGCCAGCCGGAGAGCCATCGCTTCGAGCCATCTAGAGTCGAGTCCCCTCCTCAGGCAAATAGTAGCAAGGACGAGGCTCTGCATGCTGCTTCAGCGAGTGCAACGGTGAAGTCTGAGCAGTCAGACACCCCTTCTCCTGGAGCGGAGAACACAGGCGCATTAGATCTCACTGCCACACAGCCCAACAGGCCATTCGTCAAAGATGAGAATCACTTCAGTCTGCTGTTCCTGGGAAGAGACAGAGGTAGTCATGTTTTTTCATTTTAGACAGAGATAGTCATCTATATATACAAAATTACAAATGGCTGACAATTTAACTACTCTTCTTCATGTTGTTACTACTAATATATACATTCAAATCAAATAAAAGTAAATAACTGAAGCATTTTCCTGCAATTTATGTGTTTTTTCTAGGTTTAAACACTCCGAGTATTATGAGCTCAGAATCAAGCACAGTGAAATATGAGAATGGACACAGCAAACCACCGGCCTTGTGTGAGGGACCCCACTTACCAGTTGGCCCCCAGGTTCCTACCGCAACCCCTCACACAACATTAAGCCCCAACCTGGCTCCGATGCTGGCTCCGCCCCCACCCCGGCGGACCCCCAAACAACACAACTGCCACTCCTGTGGGAAGAACTTCTCGTCCGCCAGCGCTCTTCAGATCCACGAGCGCACTCACACTGGAGAAAAGCCCTTCGGCTGCTCCATCTGTGGCAGAGCCTTCACCACAAAGGGAAATCTGAAGGTATGGTTCAAAGATATTTGTGTACTTTAGTTTATATTTATGCTAATTAAATGCGAATGAGAACAGGATCAATTTACGAATGCAGTATTTAACAAATGCATTGGCATATTGGTACATAAAGGTTTGTGTCTTAGCACCACCTAGAGGTTAAAAATAAACAAACAATAAACAAACAAACAAAAAAATATTACCTTCACATTTATCCTAATCATGATCTGGTCTCCTTTGTTTCACTGGGTCAGGCAGATTACGGTGATACCCATTTTGCCATGCTCGGCCATATTGCCAGTGCGCCTTTTGAAAATGAATTGAAAAGATATTTTCTGAACTCCTCCCACAGTGCTCATCGGATCTTCACCTAAAAAAAAAATCAAAGCAACATTTTGGCATATTTACATGAAAGTTTGCATGTGCCCTGACAATAGCATATTAATTTGATGGTGCTACTGTACCTATTGATTAAAAGTCATGAACAACTGTATTACATTACAAGCAGTTTTAATAAAGGCTTTGAAATCACGTTTCATAAAGTCTCACCAGGGATGCTATTTTTATCTGTACCTGTAACAGATCTGCCTCTAATGTGCTTGTCCCTGTAATTACTGCCTGCAGCTTTTACCAGTTACTATCGTCAAATGAGGTTAAGCTTACTAAAGCACATTTTTTAAAAGTTAAATGTATTTGATATTACTGTGATATAAGTATTCATTATTTCAATGAGCTCATTGTTTCTGCCTTAAATTATTACATTGTTTCAATTAATACATTTTTAGCTAACTGTGATTTGTACATTTCTGAAATAGATAACCTCTGATAACAGATTGTAATGCGTAATGACTCATGCATTTTCTGTAAAGCTGCTTTGAAACGGTGTGTATTGCGAAAAGCGCTATTGAATTGAATGAAACATATTTGTAATATAGACGTAAATGACAAAAACTTACTCATAATCAGAAAAGCATATAAATAAAGGGCATGATGTCTTTTTTTGCGATTCATATAAACTGAAGCAGCGTTCTCACTTCAGGTCCACATGGGAACCCACATGTGGAACAACGCCCCGGCCCGGCGGGGGAGACGGCTCTCCGTGGAGAACCCAATGGCTCTTCTAGGGGGAGATGCCATAAAGTTCAGCGAGATGTTTCAGAAGGACCTCACCGCTCGAGCAATCAACGTAGACCCGGGCTTCTGGAATCAGTATGCTGTAGCCATCACCAATGGCCTGGCAATGAAAAACAATGAGATCTCTGTCATTCAGAATGGAGGCATTCCTCCGATTCCCATTAGCCTGAGTGGCGGAGGCATTCCTGCTGTGGGAGGCCTGTCCGGCGGGATGGAGAGGTCTCACACTGGGAGCAGTTCTCCCGGGAACACACTCGACAAGACCAGCCTGGAAGTGGGAGCCGGACACCCCTTCTCCAGATTCAGGGAAAAGGACAAAGAAATTGGGATTAATTGATGATGCACATTTAGAAAAGGATACTGACAAAAAGACTTAACCCAGTTTGAGTTCTGTATTATATTGTACAAATGACGTCTGATATGCTGTTTAGATATTTAGTGTTCTTCAGTCCTACTGTACATTGATTCATGCAAAGAAAACATGTGTCTCGTTTGAAAAACGTTTGTCTTGAAAGGTCTGCATGGTACTTACTGGTTTCTGTCAGTATGTTTCTTAATAGTATGACGCTCTGACACACAGTGCAACGCTATCTCACGACCAGTTCGGACGAATTCATGCGAGTAAAAGGTGGCTAATGCGTATGAATTCGTGCGATTTGTCTAAACCCCCGTGATGGGGATGGGGGGTCAGGCGTAGGTCGTTCGTACGACTTCATACAATCTGGGCAACTCGTAAAATATGAACAATTTAGCAAAACTCTTACGGATTCGTACGGGGGAGGTCATGTGAATTAGCCACCTTGTAAATTCCTACGAATGGCCGTGAGACCGGCGAGTGTCAGCTGACACGGGCAAAGAGAAGAGAAGAGTGATTTTATACGGTTGGACATGGAATTGGATATATTAGTCAGCTTTTTCAATCATGGACACTAGACACTTGTCCAGACGAAAAAGTCGTTTAAATTTTTACATTAATTTTTCAGCCATGTTCTTATAGTAATGTTCTGTGTCTTAATATTTATGGTATAAATTAACAGTAGGTATTAAAATATATTTAATTGCCCTGCGTTTTTATTAATCTATTTTATTTTAATTTAATTTTTCTAAATTGTAATTCTAAATATATATTGAAATGAAGACGTAAAAAACTTTGTTCTATCAATGCAATCATATTGAGGTGTTGCTGTTGTGGATGTGTGCGGCGGGACACGGCGAGGCCGCGCGGGATCTGAAGCTGCTACGCTCACAAGCCTCTTTTTATCCTTTGTAAAGAAATAAAACAGAGTTCTACAAAAACAGTTTGTGTTGAAATCTACTGAGTACAGACAGAACTGTTATGCACATTTTGTAACACAACACAAAAAAGATGTTGATTTGTCATGTTTGTGAATGCACTTTTTGGAGGAACGCTCTTGTTTGTGAGATTGCATTACTGTGGGACCGAGTGATCTATACCTTCTTCTTTCTCCTGTTTGGGGTTTGTAAATGTGAGCTTCTGTCCCCAACCTCTCACATTCTGTCCAGCTCGAATAAAAGGAGAACCGATTCTGTCTGATTAATGCTGTCTCTCTTTCATCGCTTTTCCATCAGATATTTGAACAAATCAGTTTTTAAATAGTTGTAAATGTATTATTTAAAATATTTTTGTAACCTAAATTAGAGCACTCTCACTTATATATGCAGTGTAAGCACTGGACACTCAGACATTGCATTAGATGCAGATCTCAAACAACGGAGGCTATTCTCACAGTTACCGAGCTTTTCCAAATCACTCTCTTAGTATTTTCTGTGGATGCATGAAGTCAGGTTTGTGTGTGAGAGACGAATGTGTTATTGATCCGATATTACAGTCATGCCATACGCACTGACACACACACTTACTGACACTGCTAGCTTTTTAAATAAGACTAATTAATGATCACAGACTAAGCCTAACCTAAAGCTTAACCCAAGCTCTGCATCAATAGAATAAAACATTATTTGCTTATTTATGAACTGTTTTTCATGTAGAGGAGATATAAAGTTCCTGCTTTAGATCTCATGATGAGCTTAAATAATGGAAATAAAACAAATAAAACACAGTGCATTCTTGCCCATGGTGAGTAAATATAACATTATATTTAAAAGTGATGTTACATGTACTTACTATTGCAATAAAAGGTAATTATACAATTAATTAACTCTAAACCAAACCGTGACCTTAACCCTATAGTAAGTACATGTAGTTAATTAAAATTATTCAGTAGTTATTTGTGTGATTACACTGTATCAACATAAAATAAAATAAAGTGTAACCAATTGGGTTTACGGTGTTAAATAATACCAGCTCCAAACTAAATGTAAAAACTGAATGCAATCCAGAGTCTCCGGAGTAAACGAGGTTAAAGAGACGCGCCAGCGCCGCATGAGATGATCCTCATGACCAGGGTTATGCAGACCGGATCATAATGCAACACATATTATACAATGAGTTTCAACACTCACACAACTAGTGGATTGATCTCACTGTAGGGAAGGCGAATGGCAGCGAGATCTGCACAGGGATCTTCTGGGTCGTGCTGTTTACAGATGTACTGTGGAAAGAGTGTTAATCAAATGAATTGTAATAATTCACGTCTGTTTCCCAGCCAATGATCTCAGGTTGTCTTTGGGAAACAGAGTTCTCTCGGTCAGCAAACACACTCTGCATCTTTGCCCTGTTTTTATGAATATTGCATTCCAGACATTCCTGTGCTTATCACTTACAATTATCGAATAAAAAAATGTCAATCTTAATTTTTCAGGGTTGGCCAAAAATATAAAGACTTTTGTTTTAGTCTGGGAGTGGAGTAATTTTATGAAATTCAATCATGTAATTTAATATGCTGAAGTTTTAAAAGGCCTTTGTCAGAGGACGCTTTTTAACGGGGATGATTTAAATAGCAGGATTCAGATTTAGCAGCAGTGGGTGTCTCTCTCTCTCTGTGTGTGTGTGTGTGTGTGTGTGTGTGTGTGTGTGTGTGTGTGTGTGTGTGTGTGTGCGTGTGTGTGTGTGTGTGTGTGTGTGTGTGTGTGTGTGTGTGTGTGTGTGTGTGTGTGTGTGTGCGTGTGTGTGTGTGTGTGTGTGTGTGTGTGTGTGTGTGTGTGTGTGTGTGTGTGTGTATGTGTGTGTGTGTGTATTATGAGTATGATTATTCATCACAAAACACACTGTCGTTCATATATATCACCAGCTGAATTTAAACCATGTTTCGAGAGCCCAAACACACACATATACACGAGCACTTCACTGTCCGTCAGCTCTGGAACAGAAGACTCACTTCTATAGAGTAAAGAGAGAAGAGTCCGCTCTCACACACTGCTCTCAGTAATATCTGTTGTGAGTGTGTGTGTCCTGCATTCGCTGTGTGACAGATATGAGTGTGTGTGTGTGTGTGTGTGTGTGTGTGTGTGTGTGTGTCCTGCATTCGCTGTGTGACAGATATGAGTGTGTCTGTGTGTGTGTGTGTGTGTGTGTGTGTGTGTGTGTCCTGCATTCGCTGTGTGACAGATATGAGTGTGTGTGTGTGTGTGTGTGTGTGTGTGTGTGTGTGTGTGTGTGTGTGTGTCCTGCATTCGCTGTGTGATTCTCATACGTTAGGTTCTAGTTTTGTCATCTTTCTATTGCCTTTCAGGAATTTCTATAATTGTTCTGAACCATATTTGCCAGACTGTAACGCACCACAGATAAACTCATAATCCTATTACATTATTAATGACGTGGAAGAAAGTTATGACTATTCAGGGTATTTGGAATGGACAACCCATAAGGGAATGTACAAATATTATATTTCTTAGGAAAAAGTTGTTCATTAACAGTAGTGCGTTCCATGAGATTATTGATCATAATCATGTTATAGAAGCAAATGAAAACAAAGTGTCTCACATCAGTATCATGTAATGCAACTTATTATAATTAAAAATAGCATTTTAGAACTACTGTATTCAGAATTTCTTCATGAAATTACTGTATCACATATTGAAATAGTACATTTTAATGTGATGTTACTGCAGTTATTCGTGTTCCTGTTGGCCGGGACTTGTGACCCATATTATGTAATAGCACAAATATTACAGTTTACCAAGGAAAAGGGAAGGATGAGTTGCAGAAGCGCGGCCCGCCGATGTCTTCAGTGTTCAGGCACTACTACTGTGAAACGGGTCATATACACACGTTCAATAAGAGTCAAACTTGAGCGTTACGTTTAGCATTGTAATATTTACACATTGTATTTATTCTAATGTAATATATTTTGGAGAAGCCTGTTTATTTGCTGGTATTAAACATGTGTTTCCTGACACACTGACAGTCAGAGACTTCACAACGGTCCATGCTGAGAGTGACTACTTACATCACTGAATTTATGTGAATCTAAAATATTTATTGATATATGAAATTAATTCATTAATGTTTTAAAAATGATTTCATCATAAAAAATATAATCTGTGACTGTCGATGGAACATGTGACTTTCTTCAGGAGACCAATGATGATGTCATGGGTGAATGTCTTAATAACAGCAGAAAATGCCACATTTTAGAAAGGACAAACCAACATTGTTGAGCGCATTGAAGCATTAGAGATGGTGTTTTTAAAGATCTCCAATTAGGACGAGCAAAATGAGGTTTGTTCCATCAGTAACGCAGGTCATTCATCAGCTGGAGTTATTATCACACACACTTGACCTTAGCAACAGCAGATTAAGAGCGTGATATGATTGCGACAGCTGTATGATGTTATGATGTTATGATGTTGTGATGTTATGATGTTATGATGTGTTTGCCAGCTGTGTGCTCCATCTACAGGCCGGGCGGCGGAAAAACAAGAACTAAAAGTTGAAAGCTTTTTCACAGTTATTCATTCATACAATTATTGATACATTTACAGCTGTTTGTTTGGTTGTATTATTATTCAATGTTTCAATGTGTCATTTTTGAATTATGTATCAGTCATCCACTTTAATTTATTTCAACTCTCACATATTAAGTTAATTATAAATGATTGTGTCTGGAGAACTGAAGAACAATCCTCATTAGCAGAACACATTTTGAAGTAATGGCATGCTCTGAAAATACATTTTCTGTTTTACAAATTACTATAATTATTTGCAATAGCAAGAACAATGTGTCGTTGCAAGTAGCTCCACGAAAAAAATTAAACATTAATAATGTGTTGTGTTACACAGCCCATAAAAAATGGTAATACTTTACATTGTGAATGTGTGTTTACTGCTTCATTTATACAATATTGGATATTAATCTCTGAAGATAATGCTATTGTAACAGTTCATTTATAGCAATGCAGTCTATTACCATACGCATACATCTTTGAAATGTGCATTTTTTCATATTGATGAATCTCCTTCATGTTGTGTAAATCATAAGCAAAAACTGGGTAAAATCTGCACACCAATCCTTCATCTAAAGCCTCACACAGGAACTTTTTTTTTTTTGTAATGAAACAATTGTTTTCACGGTCATCCAGTTTCTGTCACGATGCTGTCGGCTGGTTCTGGTGTTTAATGCGA